CCCTCCCTCCCTCCCTCTCTCCGTTATTATGAGGTATCAAACGGCATCTTGTTGATCCAAATCACACGCCCTATGTACCGTCACGGTCCACCGAGTATAGGAACTTTCAGAGTGGAATGCTTAGCCACGCGAGAGCTGTCTACGCTTTGTTATTTAGTAATTCGGATTTAGTAATCGAATTTTACTATGCGAATGATTGATCAACGACTTGCTCACCTGCTTGCTCTCTTCTCTCCTCTCTCTCTCTTCTCTCTCTCTCTCTCTCTCTCTCTCTCACCCTTTCTTGCTCTCCCCTCTCTCTTGCTCTCTCTTGCTCTCTCTCACTCTTTCTCTCACCCTTTCTTGCTCTCCCTCTCTCTCTCTCTCACCCTTTCTTCTCTCTCTTCTCTCTCTCTCTCTCTTGCTCTCTCTCCATCTCCCTCCTTCCCACTCTCTTGCTCTCTTCTCTCTGTCTCTGTCTCTCTCTCCCTATCTCCCTGTCTTTCCTCCTCTCCCTCTCCCAACCCAGACATACATATAAATTCAGTCACTACCCTGCATTTTCCCATTACAGACCAACCAGCGTTAAGATTAAGGTTAAGACTTTTTTTTTATTTCTATCTATCATATGCTATGGTAAATGTCATTATGATAGTTATGATAGTAATTAACTTTAAATACTCATAAATGAGGGTGAATAATTTTACAAATGATTTTTTTTTTTTTTATATATATACCATCTGATACGATATGTACCAATCGAGCGAATCATCCTCAACTACCTTGTTCTAAACGTGTGCGAATAATTTTGCATATGGACGTTAATTTTCTTATTCTTTTATTTACTATTTATTATTATCATTATCATTTTTATGTAAATCCTCTATCCAGAGCCGGCTCCCATCATCCCCGGCGGAAACCCCGAACGTGGTTTCTACAAGCACACCGAGTCCAAAACCTCATCCTGGGAGCCTCTGGACGACGAGGCGCTCCGGGAGTGGGTCCAGAAAGGGTACTCTCTCATCTACAGGTAAGGGGCGCGGGTGCGGGGGGTTGGCGGACTGCTCCGAGGTGCTGCCCACTTGTTGTTTGTGTTTTGGTTTGACTTCTTGTTCTTTCTGGTCTGTTATAGTCTGTTCTCGCTCTCTGGCTCTGTCTGGTTGGCTCAATCTATCTCTGTCTCCCTCCCTCTCCCTCTCTCCAACACTCTCACCCTGCCAACCCCTCACTCTCTCTCTCGCTACCCCCCCCTCTCTTCCTCCCTCCTACCCCCCTTTTTCTTTTCCCTCTCTCTCTCTCTCTATCTATCGATATATTCTTTTTCTCCCTGATCGTCCTCTTGACTTAAAGCAAATATCACTTCTTTCTCTCTCTCTGCCAATGATGTTACAGGAACATCATTCTAGACTCCTTCGTGGACAGTGACATCAGTCCCGATATCCTGCAGAAGATCAGAGATGACTTCACTACCCTCAAGTCGAACAGGATGAAGGTAAGTAACCGCCTGTAAACGGGGGGGAGGGGGGGAGGATGAAAAGTTGCTTAAGAAATTGCCATGGCGTCACATAATGTTTGTTGGGCAACTTTACTCTCGCTCTTCCTGGGTATTCTAATGGACCAGGTGTAACGATCGGTTACTTTAACGGTTGGTTTTGATTTTATTATGCGTTTAAGTACTTCAGTGTCTCTTTATGTAGTTTTGCCAGGGGGATTACATTTTTACTGGACTGATCAAACACTGCAGTTATAAACAGTAAGTCAGTAAGAATAGAATACCCTGCTAAAAATATGTGTTCTAACTTGTAATTGCATCAAAGTCTGACATTCAGATATTATGTGGATACACGTTTCTCAACTAGGTGTCCGTGTATCAATGCGGGGACTGGGAGGTGTTGTACAAATGTCACTATTGTCTTGTTTTCTGTTTGCCAACATAAACAGGTTGGACGTATAAAACAGGTGCTTCATCAGGAATTCACATTAGTCAGAGAGCCCAGAGAGATTTAATCAGCATGGCGAGTACAAAAGGTTTGACACCTGGGTTGAACACCTCAGGGGCCATGGATCCCTAAACGGCCATTCATAAGTGCTTGCAACTGTGGTATCCGCGAGGGGCGCTTCTCAAACTACCCCCCAAATTGTTATTATCAGCATACTCGAGTACATCTTCCAAACCTATGCTAGATTAATCTTCATTGGGGTCTGATTAAGGATCTGTCATACTTAAGTGAACACGTGAGTTTGGCCACTTATGAATGACCTAATAAATGCTAATTATCACTTTTAGTCAGCATGTTGAGTACATCAGTGACACCTTTATAGAATATACTTTATGGGATGCTGATATTCTTACGTGTCAGTTTTGTGGAAAAAGCCACTTAAGAAGAGGTCAAAGGTAGTGACCCGCCCAAACTCCGTCTTCCGGTACCTTTGAAATGACTGCTACTCCCTTACTACTTGGGGGTACTGGGTCAAGATTGACTAAATTAGATTTTAATGGGAGGAATAAGGATCACTTGTT